GTAATTTTCTTAGCAGTTACTTTTTCCAGTATAAACTGTCCCATGCCGAGCAAGTCAAGCTTTCAAAGTCAACCTAAATTTTCATGTAATTTTCAAAATTACTATATAAAATAATTCAAGAAAAATTAATTTAAAAATACGCACAATGTGTAGGGGCATAATAAGATTAAACTATATACGTGACTATTTAACAAATAATAATGTAATCAGATTAAACTATTTATCAATTTATCATGTTTATGGAAAGAAGTAATGAGAAAATTTTCAATTAGAGTGAGTGTTTAAAATATATGACACAATAGAAATATTTAAGAAATCATTATAAAAAATTAAGAGAATACTTTTAAAATAAGTTACTTTTGATGATTTCAAATATTGGAAAATAATTTCAAATATACTTAAATAACAAAACCCATTGACATTATCATACAATTGCGATTTATATCATTAATATTATCTTGAATAACCCGCCCAACGTACATGATTAAACACCAGTGTATGTATGTATATATATATATATATATATATATATATATATATTAAAGCAGAGTTCTTAATCAACACAAGTCGCCCAGAGAGCAAGTTTAACCAATTGTGCCACGTGTCATCACCAAAATTCTCCTTCATTAAATAGTTAAAAGTTTATTACTAATACGTAAAATTGTTAAATTAAATTAAGTAATTAACCAATAGTTAATTTCAAAAAAAAACAAACACGTCTTTGGTAATTATTTATTGACAAAAATATGACATAAGGAAACATCAATTATCAAAATAATAATTTTATTAAGAATACAGTTTGAAACGAAGTCTGAATACATTAAATGTAAGTTACTATTATTTTGCAGATGATTCTGTTTGATATATTTTCCAAAAACAAAAGATATTAGTTACCAAAAAAAAAGATTGTTACAAAATAACTATATTACAAATACAATTCGAAACTAAGTCTACCTATATTACAAGTATGTTAATATTATTTCTTAGATGATTGGTATATTTTTCATAAATAAAAAGAGACTACTTACCAAAACAATGAGGTTATTTACCAAATACTTATACGAGTACAATTCAAAACTAAGTCTTGATACATTAAACATAAGTTGATAATATTTTTCTGATAATTCTATTTGATATATTTTTCAAAAATAGAAATAGATTAGTTACCAATAACAAATAATATATTAGTTACCAATAAAAAAATACATATTTGTTACCAAATAATTATATTGTGAATACAATATGAAACTAAGTCTGGATAAATTAAACGTATGTTTGTATTATTTTTTAGATTCTTCCATTTGATATATTTTTTAAAAATAAAAGAGATTAGTTACCAAATAATTATACTAAAAATATAATTCAAAACCAAGTCTGTATACATGCAAGATAGGTTAATATTATCTTACAAATGATTTCATTTAATATATTTTTTAAAAAATAAAAAGAGATTAATTTAAAAAATAAAAGGAGATTAGTGACAAATAATTATGTTATGAATACAATTTAAAAACCAAGTATGGATTCATTAAATACAGATTAATATTATTTCTCAAAACATTTTATTTGATATATTTCCTAAAACAAAAAGAGATTAATTTAAAAAATAAAGAGATTAGTTACCGAATCATTATATTACGAATACAATTCAAAACTAAGTCTAGACACATTAAATGTATATTAGTATTATTTTAAATGATTCTATTTGATATTATTTTCAAAAATTAAAAAAATAGTTATCAAAATTATAAAGATTAGTTGTCAAATCATTATATTACGAATACAATTTGAAATCAAGTTTAGATACATCATACTTATGCTAATATCATTTTTTAAATAATTTTATTTGATATATTTTCCAGAAATAAAAAGAGTTTAATTACAAAAACTAAAAAGAGATTAATTAGCAAATGATTATACTACGTACGTATACAATTGGGACCAAGTCTATATCCATTAAACTTGGATTAACATTATTTTTCATGATTCCACTTGAGATATTTTTCAAAAGTAAAAAGATATTAGTTATAAACTATTATGTTATGAATACAATTCGAAACTAAATCTAGATACATTAAAAGTAGGTTAATATTATTTCTCAGATGATTTCATTTGATATATTTTTCAATTTTTTTAAAAAATATTAGTTATCAAAAATAAAAGAGATTTAGTTATCAAATTATTATGTTACGAATACAACTCGAAACTAAGTCCGGATACATTAAATGTTGGTTAGTACTATTTTTTTAAGATGATTCCATTTAATGTATTTTTCAAAAAAAAAAAAAAAGAGTTGGGTTACCAAAAATAAAAAGAGATAAGTACCAAATAATTTTTCTTACAATATAATTTACAACCAGATATGAATACGTTAAACGTAGGTTAATATTATATTTCACATAATTCCATTTGATATTTTTTTAAAAATAAAAAAGATTAGTCGCTAAAAAAATAAATGAAAAGATTACGTTATGATTCTCCCCTCTTCTTCCATTCCCCTTCGTCCTCTATCTCTTCCCTTTCCCTCCTTCCCTTCGATCTGAAGCTCCTCTTTTTGTCTGAAAGATATACGCTGGCATCTCTCTTTGTTGAGTTGTAATTCTAGACGGATATTTTTCATTTGTTGGTCGAAAAGGGAGTATGATGGGTTTCAATTGACATGGTAAGTTGTACTTTAATATTATTAACTCTATATTTAGAGTGATTGTTAGAATTTTACTTGATTTCTTAATTTTGCTTGTGTTGAAGAAGGTTCGTTAGCATATTCCAGTGTGGATACTTGTGGACAACCTTCCATCTGATTTATGGATAATAATGGGAAATGTGGTCGTTAATTATAAAAGGTTCATCAATGGAAAAAATCTATATGTTTTGAACTTTTAACTAATCATTTTGTCTTGCATTTTAAACTTCGACATTATAAGGAAAATTTTGGTACTACTGACATACCTTTTCTTTTCTAGAGGGATGCATCATTTTTAGAACATGCATTATATTTTCTATTTTATGGATCATTTCTGTTGTATGTTATTGACAGATATTTATGAGTATTGATGGTTTTATTTTTAAACAATCATGAGGGTCTCATTTTGGTATGTTTTGCACCATTGATATTATAGAAGTCCAATGGGTTTAGCTAAAAAATAGTTCTGCATCAATCTCGGTCTAAAGAAGCCAGATAGACTAAAACGAAATTACTCATACTCTAGAGTCTAAAAGTAAATATATACTTTATGTGAGATATTAATAGTTAAATATATTTACTCTAAGTGCATGATTATCTACGTGTTTTGGTTTTACAAGAGAAGTGTGGCACCGTAATGGCAAAAGAATAAGTATCTCGAAAAGCACTCATAACTAAGAAAAAAATTATGAGTCCAGATAAATAAAATGGGTCCTGCACCCGCCAAGCACAACATGTTTTGCTATTAACAAAATTAAGAAAAAAGTTTGGAGTATGAATAAGTATTTCAAATATTATTTATTAGTTTTTTTTGTCATGGTTTTTCCCCTTGTTTTTTGTGCTTTATTTACTTTTGTTGGAATTTTTTTATTTTGCTTTATGCCTAAAAAAAGATTATTAATAATATTTGATTCAATTACTACAAGTAAACAATATATGCTTTTCAGTCAATATATTTTAAGAATATACATGATTTAATTTCTATTGTTGAAAATAACTTTTATATACTTATATCCCTAAAAAAGTAGGATAGTAGACAATTGATCATATTGATTCGTATTTAGAAAAAAATTTTATATACTAACACTACTAAACAAGAAGCATATTAGATAGTTGAACATATTAATTTGTATTTTAAAATACCCTATATAGCTAAGAAATACTTGATCAAAGTGGTAACAATATTAGGCCAAGTTAACTACAATCCATGATTAAATCTGTGCATGGGCATGTAGTAATGATTCTTGGGAGAGGTTTATCTTTCAAAAGTGACCTACCCGATTCAAAGACGGATTAGTTGGAATAATGCTTTCGAACATCGGATGCACCAAAAAGCAAAAAAATAAAAATAAAACATATGACCCTCTTGAATTTGGACTCCGAATGCCAATATACCAAAAAACGAAAAATTAAAAATATGACACTTTTCATAGAAAAATAATAGTATAGTAATGTTACTCTAAAATATAATAAAATCCACACAACGTGCGGGCATAATACTAGTGTATATATATACATATATGTGTGTATATGTGTATATACACATATATATGTATACATATATATAGTGAAAAAACGTAGTGAAAAAAATTGTGGGTGATGTGGAGTATTATCGGACCCCTTTTTCTGCCACTTTTCCGTTAAAAGTTTATTTATTCTGTAAAATTATATTTTTATACTTAATTAATAAATAGAAATGTTTAATGAGAATTGTATATTTGTCTTTTATTATTTACCTGCCATAACAACCTAAATACAAAAAATCAATCTAAACCAATTCTTAGAGTTCCATTAATCCCTAAATGTAAGGTCCAAAGGAATATATTTTTGAAGAAAAAAAATCCCTAAAAACTAAAATTAAAAAACAAGGCTTAATTTTGTTTTGCAAAAACGAAAAATAAAATTCTATAGAAGTACTACTAAAAAATATCGATTGGGTGGTAAGTTCTAGAACCGAAAAAATGGCACATTGGAAAACCCTCCTTAAAATAAGGATTCTATTTAAATGATCTTTCGCTATTCATTTTCTGACGTTCAAACCTTCTACACACCACCACCGCTAACGGCAGAGCCACCATTCCGCCACCTATCGGAACACCAATCTCTAATCATCTTTTTTATTTCGACAGCCCCTCTTCCGATCTTCCTCTACCTCTTCTTGAATCAAAATCAGAACTACAGTTTGATTTCCTCCTTGGGTCCGCAATTTTTTTTTCTCTCCTAAATGTTTTCACCTGAAAAAAAAAATTAATGGTTTGACGTAATTCACGTAATTACTCCATTAACGGTTTAGTTTGATTTAAAACGGAAGGCCAAGATGCGTGAATCGGTCCGGGCAGATTTGGGTTTCAATAAGCGCAAACATAGAGAGGACGACGGATCGACAGAAATGCCGTCCGGCGAAGTCCCGGCGTTTAGCTCTCTTCATTCTAACGGAAAAACGACGCCGTCGTCAATAAAGGGAAGTGAATCAGATAACCGGATTCTAGCTGGTTACTTGGCTCACGAGTTTCTGACGAAAGGGACGCTGTTCGGGGAACAATTTGAGCCGGTTCGGGTAAATCCGGCTCCGCGGCTTCAGTCAGCTGGTAAGCAGCCGGTGAGGAGGAGGTCAGAAGGCGGTGGCGGCCGGAGTATTGAAATGGAAGCCGAGATAGATAAAGGGTCGGCGAAGAAGATGGATAGCCGGAGTTATGCTGAGGTGGCGACCTTGTTCCAGATCCCGGGGACTCACATTCCTGGCATAGTGAATCCCACCCAACTTGCTCGATGGATTCAAATGTGAAGAGAAATTTCTCCCAAAACAGCTTCAGATTCATTCAATTTCTGATGGTGTTCTTGATTCTTGAACCTTCAGCTTCAGAAGTAGTGTTCTAATTCCAATTTTAATTGTGAGAGATCAGCTGGATTAAGATGTGGTTTCTCTTTCCTTTTTAAATTTCTTGCACATGAGTTTTGAAGCTGATTTGTAATGTTAAGATTCAACCAAACCAGTTTATCTGTTTTTAGACCTGGTGAATCATTTTGGAACAGAATGAGTCACGATTCAGAAGATGTAAGGCCAAAGACAAGTTATTTCCAGTTAGCAGCTTAAGAATTTATCAAGGGTATATGGTGAAATCATTAATCAATAATGTAGTATGAAGACATTATACTCAACCAGAGCATCGCCAGTGGCCGGATCGAGATTAACAGTTTCTTCCGTCGCAATTCCTTGAGCTAACCGGAAAAAACTAGAACCACCAATTATCGGCAACTCTCTGTACTTGTGGAAGATTGAATCAGTACATAGAAAGCTAATAGTGCTACCATTGTACTCTCCTTCAGTGAACACCAAATTGAAAGCCAGCATTAGTACACCACTATCACTCTGGCTTATCCTGGTGTAGGTCCCCTGAGCTCGACCGATGATCTTGGAATCAAACTCCGGCCCGGTTGTGATTGGATCATCAAATGCAAACGTCCCTCCAAAGCCGGTTGCCATCGATTTTCTAGTATTGAATTTTGCCTCAGCAATCTGTACAACAGTCGGGTTGCCGCCTGATACGATATCCCGAATGTATAAATGTAATTTGGTTAACTTCGGCTTTGCTTGAGGGAGATCATCGAACCATTTTTCGATGGCTTCAGGACTCTGATCAATGCTTCCATGAACCATTAATGGCACCGTGGCCATCTAAAAGAATTGAGAGGCTGCCATTTAGGGTTTATAGAAGGAAAGCAAGCTCAGTTTTGGGAAGAAGAGTTCGAGTACTTGATCTTTGAAAAGAAAATGAATTGATTTTATTAACTATGTCTGAAAACATATATATACATACATCATTTACTCCATTGACTGAGATATAGGAAAAGACTAGAAAGACCCTGTATTAAAACCTATATCTATATAACCATCAAGGGTAAAACCGTAACACAAAACACTTATACTAAAAACATCTTAAACACATTCCTAATCCGGATCAAGCTTCATTTTCTTCATTCTCTTCATCCCCTCCGCAAGCTGAAACGTGGGAAAGTTGCTTCACACCAAGCTTGGACAGTAAATCAGAAAACTGAGGAAAGGCTAAGGATTTTGTAAACAAATCTGCAATCTGCTCACGCGTGGATATGTGCAAAGGAACTAAGAAACCTTTGAGATATTGCTCTCTAACAAAATGACAATCAATGTCAAGATGTTTAGTACGTTCATGAAACACCGGGTTCTCGGTGATGTTAATGGCAGCCTGATTGTCACACCATAAGGGAATAGGTAAGTGCAAAGGTACCTGAAAATCCTGAAGGAGATAAGAAATCCAGATCATCTCCTTGCCGGTGATGCTCAAACTTCTGTATTCAGCTTCAGCTGAAGAACAGGAAATGGTGGTCTGTTGTTTAGACTTCCAAGAAATTAAGGCAGGACCAAGAAAGACGCAATACCCGGTGAGAGATCTTCGGTGGACTGGATTAGTCCCCCAATCAGAATCTGCATATACTTCCAACTTAAAATCAGACTGAGATGGATAGAAGATACCAGTGGTGACTGTGCCTTTGAGATATTTCAAAGTGTGTATGAGAGCATTCCAATGATCCATACAGGGAGAATGGACATGCTTGCTAAGTTGTTGAACAGCATAAGACAGATCAGGCCTAGTAAAATTCAAATAAAGCAGTTTACCAACTAGTTTTCTGTATAAAGAAGCATCAGAGATGGGTGGTCCACAGTCTTCTCCAAACTGATGGCCTTTCTGAAGAGGTGTGGTGGTAGCTTTGCAACCAGTCAAGCCAGTTTCTTGGAGGATATCTTGAATATACTTCCGCTGATTGAGGTACATACCTTCTGGTGACCTAGCCAACTCAATCCCCAGAAAATACTTGGCATATCCAAGATCTTTGATAGTAAAAACCTGATGTAAATACTGCTTAACCTGAATAATAGCAGATTCATCCGATCCTGTGACAAGTATATCATCTACATAGACAATAAGAGCAAGGAAAAGGGTACCCTTCTGCATAATGAACAAACAGGGATCATGCAGAGATTGCTTAAAACCATAGGACTGAATTTTTGCAGTAAATTCAGCATTCCATTGCCTGGAAGCTTGTTTCAATCCATATAAAGACCGTTTCAACCTGCATACTTGACCTGGTTTAGCCAAGATATAACCATCAGGGGATGTCATGTATACTTCTTCTTCTAAATGACCATGAAGAAAAGCATTATTAATGTCTAGTTGATGTAAAGGCCAACTGTGAGCAGAAGCAAGAGCTAAGAGAATTCGAACAGTGACAATTTTTGCTACAGGCGAAAAACTATCATAAAAATCTTCCCCTTCAACCTGATTGTAACCTTTGGCCACCAATCTAGCTTTATAACGTTCTACAGTACCATCTGAATGGTACTTTACCTTGTAAACCCACTTGGAGCCAATTGCCTGCTTTCCTGAAGGTAAATCTGTCAATTCCCAAGTATGATTTTGTTCCAAAGCATTTAGTTCATTAGTCATTGCTGCAATCCATTCTGGACAAAGTCTGGCTTGCTTATAGGTTTGGGGTTCAGGTATGGTGTCTATTTGGGACAAAGAAGACATGTGATGATGAGAAAGGACTGGCTGATAGGAATAGGTCTCATGCTTACTATGAACTAGCAAAGCATTGGAGTGTTGTGGAGAAGGAGGTTTCCCTTTGATATGATGAGAAACATAATCCTTCATCCATATTGGATCACGGATGGGTCTAGTGCTTCTCCGTAGAGGAGGTGAATCTGGTGAAAAAGGCTGAATGACAACAGGTGTGTTTTGTGACAAACTGGAATCAGGATTAGAACTTAAAGGAGAAGAAGTGGGAGATAAATTTTCTGAGCTATGTGAGGGAGAAGAAGAATCAACAAAGGTGGGAGGAGGATTATTTGAAGATGGTAAAGATGAAGTCCAATCTTCTTCAATGACAGGCAGAGAGGATTGTGAGAACTGAATTTCCTTGGTTTCAGGAAGAGAAGGAAATACAGTCTCATGGAAAACGACATCCCGGGATATGATGACTCTGCGACTATCAAGATCAAAGAGTTTATAGGCCTTTTGACCAGGTGGATAGCCTAAAAAGATGCATCTAGTGGCTCTAGGTTCAAATTTTGCTTTATGAGAAATAGTGTTGGTTGCAAAACACAGGCAGCCAAACGTTCTTAGGTGAGTATAATCTGGTGGTTTAGAAAATAAAATCTCATAAGGTGTTGATATGCTTATATTTTACCTATTTATTATATCCCTAATTTGTGATTTTTGCAATATATTTTGAGTACAAATATGCTATTTATGTGATTTTATCTTTAATTGTAGGAATTGTACTCAAATGAAGAATTGTTGAAGTTTTGAGCTAAAATCGAATTAAAAGCAACTCAATGGGAATGAATTGAACATTGGAGCAATTGATGGGGAAGAAATTAATGAGTTTAGAGAATTGGAGGGCCAATCATGCAATTTTGCAATTTGATTCTAATTGTTGGAAAATTGGCCGAAGGTTACGTTGATGATACGGCTGATTTCGGATTGGAATTGGATAAGAATTTTAATCCCGATATTAATTGGAAAACAAGTTTTCTTGTTCTTCAAGGAGTAGGGTTTAGCCGGAAGCCTATAAAAGGAGGATTAGGGATTTATTTTTACAAGAGAACGGAACCGAAACTTGACCGAAAACCACCGGAACTCCCTCCTCCTTCAGCCGGCCATCACCACCGTAGCAGCCGGCCACCACCTTCACCTCCAGCACCTCACCTTAATCATCATCTTCTCCACCTCTCACCTCTCTTCGTCATCATCATCACCGAGCTGGCCATCACTACCGAACGCCACCATCTTCCTCCACGCACCAGCCCTCCTCCTCCGGAGCTTCCCCGCTGCAACTCTTCGCCATCGCCACCTTCTTCCTCTTCTCCGCCTTCCTCTTCACCGCCGCGCAGCACCACCACCTCCATTCCAACGCAGCAAATCCGGCGAAGCGAGCAGCAACCGTCGGCGGGTCTTTGGCGTCAATTCGGTTTTGAAGTTTTAATTTATTTATTTTATTTTATTTTATTTTTTATTATGTCTCTAAATATTATTGAATAAATTTTAATAATGTTTAGTGGCTAAATTCTTTTAATCTAGGGCTTGGGTGTAGCCACCGAATTTATTTGGTTTATTTGGTTTATTATTATTTGACTTTTCCATTAATTAATATTTGTTATTCTTGTTTTAATTCGTGTAAGTAATTGGCCACTATTTACATGTCTGAAGGTATTAATCGAAGTAGCGAGTGGAAGATTAATATTAGTTCGTAGGAATAATAAACTTAGGTTATAAGCTACGAGTAAGATTATAACCTTTGCAATATTTGATTCTTAATGGTCTTAATGTGCTTTTGTTAATCCCTATAGTCACGAGAGTAGTCATAGGATTAATCTAAGTAAGAGAATTATAACACGAGAGTGTATAGTTCTTAATTAGGTGAATCGTTGTGAGATTAATGGAAGTTAAAAGTCAGATAGTTATGAATTGAACTAACCCAAATATTCGGTAGGTGAACCCAATGTCCTAGGTTTTCTTTGTCTGATTATTTGAATTAATATTATTTGCTTTTATTTTATTTATTTATTTTATGTTTAAATTTTATAAATCTGAGATCATCATTTATCTAGATAATAATAGGAGTAATTTATACCTGGTAATTAGTATTCCTTCTCTGTGGGATCGACCCTGCTTTCTGCTTTACTACTAGTAATTGTATTAAGTAGGTAATTATTATTTGACTAGTGTGACGACGGCTTGTCAAATTTGGCGCCGTTGCCGGGGAAGGCAGCTAATATCGAATTTAGATTACTTTCTTTTATTAGTTTCGATTTGTTTTTTTTTTATTCATTTATTTTATTGTCTTACTATTTTAGTGATTTCTTTTAAATATTTTTTTTTCTTGTTTTTATATGCGAAGTGCTAACTCTGAGACTGTGCAATTTGATCCAGAGATAGAAAGAACAGCTCGTGCGAACAGAAAAGAAGCAAAACTAAGAAAAGAGAAAAATCAGAGTGAAACCATGGGCGACAGAGTAAACACTCGGACATTGAGGGATTACTTTACACCTACGGAGAATGTTGCTAGGTCAAGTATTACTAGGCCTACCATTGCTGCGAATACCTTTGAGCTCAAGCCAGCATTGATCCAGATGGTGCAGCAGAATCAATTCTCCGGTTTTAACAATGAGGATCCGAATGCGCATATTGATAACTTTTTGGAGATCTATGATACTGTTAAGATAAATGGTGTAACGTCAGATGCAATCCGGCTGAGACTTTTCCCTTTTTCATTGAGGGGAGAAGCGAAGAATTGGTTGAATACTTGTGATCCTGGTTCCTTCACAACTTGGGATGAGCTGTACAAAGAGTTCCTGATCAATTTCTTCCCACCACATAAGGCAGCGAAATTGAGAAATCAAATTACTGGGTTTATTCAAGAAGATGATGAGACATTTCATGCTGCGTGGACAAGATTCAAGGAATTGCAAAGAAGATATCCTCACCATGGTATTGAGAAAAGTACTCTAGTTCAGACTTTCTATCAAGGATTGACAGACTTTGCAAGAAACAATGTAGATGCTGCAGCTGGAGGTTCATTAATGGATAAGTCAATTGATGATGCCTATGAATTGTTTCAAATTATGGCAAAGAATAG